AACATAAGCCACATTAATCACACACTGATCTAAGAGAAAAAGGTCAACACATGGACAGTTGTATATATGAGCTAGTGCTTTTGTATAAATTTTGACTACACACTGTAGATAAATACATTGCTTGCTAATGTTTAAAGAAAATAAAAATCAAGTAAATTGCACATTGTGGTTATTGCTGTACAAAAGGGTAAGGGTTAGGGTAACTTTAGTCTTCCTCCCAAATTTATTACATTGTAACACACCGTATGTACTGTATAATATTATGGGAAATAATAAACTCAACTCAACTCAAAACAGTCAACAAAATAATAAAAAAGAAATTGTAGAGTTAAATTTTGGTATCAATTATACATTGCAACAGACTATTGCCATGTTGAAAATGCTGAATGTTGTGTTCAATGTCTCTTTGAACTCACAGTCCACACATGAGCCAAACCATTTTATAAGCCCACTCAAAACCTCAAATGAAGCTGTAAATTTATCAACCACAACAGAACTAAATCATAGGAATTCTACAGTGTGTGAGAGAGTTATAAACAGTCAACAGCGGTCTTTTTTGCATGAACGTGCGCACTAAGACTTGATAAAGAGCACGTGACTAGTGACAGCGACAGTGGTGCATAGTCATAGGGACCAAATTCTTCACTTTGAAAGCTTGATTGAGATTCAAGTGGCAGCAGGAACTTAGGAAAAGAAGTAAAGACCTGGTGATTTACAGAAAGTGGAGACTGATGCGCTGAACGAGGTGAAAGAGAAAGTTTCTCAAGGATGTCTGACAACAACATGGCTGATTGTTGTTGTTTGGCGCTCGACTTGTGTCTTGATTCCCCTTCAAGAACTCCAAAGTTTGGCATAGAATGCATTGCTGACGGGGAGCTATTAAGCAAAATGTTCTTTATTTAGTGTTTGTCTATAAATCGGATATAAATTAGTTTCTTGATGCCATAGAGGATTTCTGTCAATCATATGTGGATAGCTGATTTCGCCATATTTTGGGAGTTGATTAATAACAATCAGTGGGTGACTACCACGCTGTTATCAGTTGGAATAGAAAGTTGTTCCCTTAAGAATTTTAGCGATACAAAGTTTGTTTATCAGAAAATTTGCAGAACTTCTTTTTTTTTTGGTGGACTAACACTGTAACGCATCTTTTACAAAAACAGGAATTTGCTTTTAGCCGTTTGGTTCATCAAAATCAGTCCTGTGTCTCATGCATTGATATTCATTTTTTTATTGTTCCATACACTCAGAGTGAATGCCATCAACATCTCACCAGGTGACTAATCTAAATGTCTGTCTTGTGTGCTCTTTATTTTGTAGCTTTAAGGTGCTGGGAAAATTGTAGAACATTATTAACTCACTGCTGAACTGAACACCAACTTTTGTGCACTTCGAACCCACTCGCTGAAATTTGCTATGTTACTTTTTTTAAATACTTGTGTTCCTTTCCCCATTTTAAAACAAAAAAAATTGAAAGTGTTTACTTACATTATCAAATGTTTCGGCACTTTGTTTAGAGTTTAATGAGGTTAGCGCAATCCTACAAGCACTACATATACGCGCGCTGTTGTCCAGGCCAAGTTGGGAGATGAAATTTGATAGTAGCTCGTGGTATGTTAAAGCCGGTCTACTTCGCTTTTGTTAAGACCATGTGAGAGTTTTTTGCAAACTACACATTTTGTTAAATCACGAGCACATTCGCCAAGACCAACGAAGAAAATAATCGCGCTGATAGCTTTGAGACACGCCATTTTGATGAGGGCAGAGCCTGTGGTGAGCCCCCATGCACACTGCTTGTTCAGCGGTCGCGCATGCTCATGCAAAAAAGACCCCTGTTTAAACGGTCAAAAAAGTACCTGAATAAAACTTATTTAATCAGGCTTTATTGACTGCAATGCTCCCTCTTAAAGAAGTACAGTGTAATCAAGCACACTATAGAAGAATACACAGTAAATGAAGTGAATGTAAATTCATATGATATAGGTTAGATAGATTCCAACAAAACATGAACAGAAATGGACATGCAAGTGCAGTTTTAGCGATGGAAGCATAAACATAGCATGGTCCTTAATAGAGGCGCATAGGCATAGCATAAGAGATTATGCGTTGGTGAGGATGGCCTTAACAGAGGCATAAGAATAAACACACGAATAAAACGTACATGTAAGCTTACGTTGAACTGTGGAGAATTGTTTTTGACTTTGCCGCTGTCAGGTTCAATCAATCAATAAACTTTATTTACCCTCGAATTTACAGTGTAGCGCTCAAGTGCGAATATCTTCGAGTCAACTACATTAATAAATAATTATAATAAAAAGGTTAATTCTTTGAAAATAAATCGAAGAATACATTTGTTTAAATGGTCCAGTTTATCCGAATCTTGTTTACTAGAGAAATGCCACACCATAGAACAATAATAAAAGTGAGGAAGTATATATGCCTTATAAAAACGGAGCATGGTTTCAGTAGACATCAGTTTGCCAAACCTTGTCGTAACGCTAAACTGATTGTTTACCAGTTTGTTATAAGATTTTCGTACGGCCCCATTCATATATAAGGCTTGCAGCAGTCATTTCATACTATTTTATACAAATAGTTAATGTGATGGGAATCGAAACAGAAGACTTAAGCTTACATGATCTGAATATGGCTGCACGGAAATCTTAGCTTACCACCTACAGTATATGCGTTTCTTGTTAGCTTTAATCTTTTATAATGCTTCGCTACAGATAAATATCGTACCTCAGTGTAAAGACTGGTCCATCTTCTGCTCTGATTTAGCCGACGACCTTGTTCCCTGTAAAACTAAGTCCGCAAAAATTCGCCTTGAAAATGATGGGCTCCTGATCCACGTTGATCACAGATGATCACTAGATCAAAGTTCGATTGTTTTTAAGCACGCACGCTGTAAAAATGGTCAGCAGTGATGTTCGAATTAGAGGACCGGTCGCAAGGCAAACCGATTAAACCGGTTTGAGTACTGGGCGGTTCAATTGAAATAACGGCTTTTTTATCTTGGCAAGTGTTGGGTTATGCATGTTAGCTTATTGTAATTTTTTTGAAGGAATAATTTTCATATTCAAAACATGTTTAACCTCTGGCGCAAAAGTTTAAGAAACGTCACTTGTTGCGCGACTGTTAGGTAGCACAATCGATCACTTCTCTTTTTTATAACATGTAACGAAAACTTCGCACCGTTGATATCAGATCATCCGGTTGTATTCGGGAAACGATTTTAGGTGAGTTCTGTTTTTAATCATTCTTAAGTAGTACTTTTTATGGTAGATTACTTGCTAGTAAAGCGAAATAATCATATTTTCGTTGTTGTGTACCGGGGCATAGTCAGACCTTGCCGCGATTGCAGTTGATGTGTTGCAGTTGAAACGCAGACCATGCAGACTGCAGACTGCAGACTGTGCAGACCGTGCAGACTGTGCAGACTGTGCAGCCTGTGTTATTTTTTTTAAACTGGTACCTTAATTTTCTAGTAAAATTTTTACTATAGTTTCCCGCTTCCTCTCATTATGTGCACTCTGCATCACTATCATATGTGCACCGATGTGTACCTGCAAGGGTCATTGCCACGATTATTTAGTTTTTTTGGTAGAAGAAGCTTTTTCAGGTTAAGTGACTTAAAATAAAACCCTTTTCGGCTTCCTACAACGGCTTACCCTGGATACCAGAGGTTTTTTCTCGCGTGCGACGAGGAGCTTCGTCGGCCACAGGCCGACACGAACTATTTAGTTTTGGAGCTGAATAAACAAGAACCATGATACTCGAACAAGATTGTCGGTTTCAAACCACTACCACTTATTGGCTTGAATGCATGGAGCAAATACAATTGTCGATCCCCGAGTGAAAACCCGCCCAGAAGGACACTCTTGGGAATCGAATTAAAAAAAATACATAAACAAAAGTCTTACCCGAATCTTCCGAGCTATAAACAACGATGACATCGGTATTAGTAAGATTTGAAGAAATGACGGCAAGTCACCGGTTTGAATTACAGAGTGAAACCAAAGACGATCATCAAAAATCAAGGAAATTGAGGAAATGACTCTCTCGTAGCCGTTCTAGGAAGCCGAAAAGCGCTTTATTTTAAGTCACTTAACTTGAAAGTCTTCTTCTATTAAAAATATTTCAATAATCGTGGCAATATAATACAAGTAAAGAAAGAAACAGCTTACCTTCCTCCATCGTGCTTGCTCCTGAGTGAAAGCGGCGCAGCTAAAGGCGCGCGAAACTGACCTCGAAACTGCCTTTACATCTGCCGGTAAACATGAGCCCGCGATTTCTCATTTCTTAGCCATGACCCTTGCAGGTACACATCGGTGCACATATGATAATTATGCACAGTGCACATAATGAGAGGAAGCGGGAAACTATAGTAAAAATTTTACCAGTGCAGGCCATAGACAGTTTTGTCTATATGGTTTCTTGCAATATGATCAGTCGAGGCAAAACCAAAACAAAGAAATTTGGCCGAGAGGAACTGGGGCGACCTAAACCTTGTGTACGGAAATGTGCACGGCGGCCATATTGCAACGCGACAACGTCAACGTAAAAAATACACACAAAATTGACAATAATTTAACGAGAAACAGCATTTAATTCCGGATTTGCACGTATTGAATCATTGTATGTTCTAATTTTCGATATCGATTGTCATCAGCTCTCCATTCTCGCACTCCGCTAAGGACGTGCGGTCTCTGTCGAGCACAGCCTTTTTGTGCTTGCGTGGAACTTTAACGTGAATAGTAGCCGGGATGTAAGCCCCTCCACCAGCCTGTTTATTTCTTTGGAACTTTTGAGCTGCGTTGGGACGAACAGAAACCGTTGGTTCTCAGTTGACAATCCTAAGAGAGAAGAGACAAACGCAGATTAAAAAATTCAGGCCGACGAACTCCAAAACTGTTCACCGGTACAAGTAAACTGAATAGCTTCGTTTCAAGTCATTACACAGAAAAATATTCAGACAAAGGAGATAACCGATAATTCACTTACCCTTCAATCCGCGATATCTTGCCACACTCCAGAAGGTAGGATAGCTCCATGTTTAAAAAATACTGAATTCTACCGATCTGAGACCCTCGCACATCTTCCAAAGTGTAACTTTTTCGCTTTGATTTGCTGTAAATGGCCATTTTCCGCAAAGGCTCCGGAATTAGTTCCAATTCGGCAGGGATAAGACATGCCAGTGCGAAGGGATCATACTCGTTGTAAGCTTCCTTTCTAACGATAAATGGTGTCCCAGATGGTGCTTTAACCTTGAAATGGTGATATCTGAAAATTATCCAAATTAAACAGCGTAAGCCATGGAGATAAGCGCCAAGTAAGGCTTTGTTTTCTGAAGGAATTTCACATGAAGTGCGGTAAGGCAATTAGTTTACGCAGAAAATACCACTGCTGCAAAACTTACCCTTTGATTTGAACGCCTTTGATGGAAATTCTGAAAAAGTCTATTGTCGCTGCCATGCTGAAGGATTGCGCTCACTTTGTTCCGAGGATTTGAGACCTTTGACCAGCTCGGCACCCAACTCTGCCGTTTCCGGTGAGATGTCCAGATGACACTTCTAGAATGCTAGTTACCAATGAAATAACTGTTTGTTTCAATGTTGGTTTATTTGTGGTGCTGTGAAGAACTCCTATTACACTGCTCTTACGCAAGTGTTTCGCGTGGACATTTTTGTCAGTCTTATATTTAAAAATTGAAGTGATCTCAAAAACTGTTTTGGAACCATGAATTCGATAAGCCCTGATGTAAACGGTACTGAAGGCGAAGCTCGGTAAGTAATATTTTTTTCATCATGCTCATGTTGTTGCCCAGTTGAAACCTTTTCCGGTTCGCCCACGTGTACATGTAGATGCTTATTGAATGTTTTGAAACAAACCGCTGAAAGTTAAAAGAATATCTTTTCAGCGGGTAGCTAGGTACCTATTTGGACAAGCAGGAACATTCCTATCATAACTGCTCTGGTCTCTTTCGTGAAAAGTTGTAAATAAGTCTCGTGGTTTTCGATTTGACAAGCACCCCCAGTTATACCCTCACCCCTCCTCCGTGCATTCCTATAAATTTTTGTACTTGTAATCAGGAGAACCTTACACTGAACTCGAACACTGGCAATTGTATTTAAACTACTTACTTTATATTCGCAGTGGAACTTCGCAAAAGGCCGAATTAAAAAGAAATACACCGCGAAGGGGGAAAGAGAAAATGGCCTAAGCAATTCCCAGGCGAGGTCTTCCGCGCTATACCGGCGCAAGGCGACTTTATTTCAGAAGGGTCACGCTCTTCACACCATGACAAAGGCTGAAGTAATTATTGTAATCGATCACAAGAGACAGCGTTTTGTCGGCGGTTTTCTGGGCCTTTTAGAAACATATAATAAAGGAATACTTAAGGCCACCCGAGCCGAGCACAGATACGATGCCCCGGAGACTGCAACAGACCCTGATCGCCCTGAAATCGAACCGCTCGAAGACACTCCTTAACATATCAATATTGATCATCGTTTGGCTGGCGTTCTAGGGCATTCATCAACGAGAGGTGAGACTCGCGTCCCTCCTTCTAGAAAGAGGTTGCACTATGGTGGTAGTCCTGACGCTGTGATACCAACTCCTGTTAAGGAATTATTGTTGAATAAACCGATGCCGCAACTCACCGACAAAGAGAAAAATGACGTACCCACCGTGCGGAAACAGAGTTAAATATCATTTATTTCTGACGAGAGCGTAGAGATCTTTGTTGCTGGAGAGGAAGAGTGATAGCAGATACTGTATGGATGATCAATCAATGACCCTCATCAGCTAATTAAATTGTTATTGTTCCTGGTAACTTTTGGGCATTTCCCAAAACAATCAGAACGTTATGTTCTGTTAAGAGGCTTTCCGCGTAAGAACCGATAAGGCAAATTTCGGTGTATCACGGATTGCCCTGATTTTTTCAGTGGAAGATAACTATCCTATCCCATGAAGAAATATCACATTTATTTGGACCAACTCAATTTTTTCTCTATATTACAGGAAGATTTTCTCGGTCACCTAAAACTGGCCCGTTTGCCTTCAGAAGTGGTGCGATTTTGGTGAAACTTTAGGGCTCTGTCAAACCTGCCTTACATAGCCGAATAAGCTGATTATTTTACACACTAAAGTTTTAACTCTCGTTAACAGTGTCAAAGTTTAATGGTTGCATTCTGTGGAAATTTGGCTGAGATATGATTGTTTTTAAATGACCGTTAATTTGCTCAGCAGGAAAAGTAATTTGCATAACTAGAGCTGAACGGTAATTTCGCGAAAGTGGCACCTGACCCAGACTCAAGTCTGTGATAAATCAGAAGTACTAAGACCAGTCTACTTCTTAATGCAATAAAATTTGTGGGCACTCTTCTCTGCGCGCTGTACAAAGTTCCGTTAATGTTACAAACTCGCCATTTTGACAGCAAAGCTGGAACTGTAACGGTCCGCATTTGATCGACTAATTTCCACAGTTTTAACGTTTCTAGTTATCACCAAATGTCATTAGACCCTTTAAATGTTGGACGTTTGAAAACACGAGGAGAAAACTTGGTAATCGCTTTTTCTTGGTTTTTTTCCTGGTCGACGATCAGAACGCGACTTCATTCTCCGTATGCAAATTAGCCTTAGATGCGTCGTTTCAATTAATTGAATTGACAGGAAACATAACTGCTTATATTTCACATTTTTAAGGGAAAATATCTCTTAGAACTTTCCAAGAAAAAACACGAACGATATATGACTTAGAATCCCCTTAGGTCTGTTTCACGAGGAAGAAGTAGTAGAAGAAGATTATGTTTACGCGAATGAAAACAATTTAATTACTTTGGCCCGTCACGCATTCCCCGAGAGTGGCTGTGTATCGATCAGTTCTTTTATCTGATTATATTTTTTTTGAAGTGATAGTTATTGATAATCATACAATTTAATCACTATTAATTCCGATTCTTTACTGGGTGGGAAATACCGTGCTGTTGTATTTATTCATTCTACGACCGTTTTAACTGAGTCAGTATCCCCGGGAGCCACCGTGAGGATAGGGTTTAATATGACAGCCCATGGTGTAATACACGACAATTAGCTACAAAGTAGTCCCTTGGACACGGCCACTCTTATTCACGATCACTAGCACAATATTTTCAATTACAGAATCAAAAATTAATATTTTGGAAATAGCTCGCAAACAACTTCAGAAATACCTTGCGACACCATAGGACCACACCTGCAAAGTACTTTCATTTCCTAGATTCCTTGCTAACCATAGGCTATACAAACGTTAGGGTGGTATTAACAGAGCATTGTGTTTATCGCCAATTAACAACATTTCAGTAAAAATGAGGAATGGCATGCAGAAAAAGGCATAGTTATTGTTTACGGTCCTTCTCCTGTTAAATCCCAAAAGTTTTGCCGGCTGTTAATCACACTAAATTAAGGATCCATATGTTCACTCCTGCGCTGTTGGACAAAAGCACGTGCAATCTTGTATGAAAGACGAAAGTTTGTCAACTAGGTCTCCTTTTCTTTCCCTGGATTTGAATGGTATTTTAAAGTGACACAAGATTTTTTTAGCATTACCACGTTGAACTGACTAGGTTGTTCTTCCTTTGACATACACATAGGTTGAAAGCTTCTGGTTGAGGGAGTTGTGGTCTCAATTCTTCAGCGATTTCTGCAACAAGCTTTTGCCTTTCGAACTCGTCGTCTTCTTGCAACAGATCTCTATGGTCAAGTTCAACTTGTATACAGTTAGGATTATGTTTACGTGTTGACTCAAACGGGCCTAGAGTCCAACATGGGCTGGCAATAGGTGAGCACGGAATTGGAACGGGAGTGGGGGGAACTCCCTATGATGGCCTATACGGGGAGGTTCCGCCCGAAAGGAGTATCTTTTTCAGGCTTCAGGTATATGAAAGGGCGGGCATTTCACTAGATGAAGTATATAAAAAGGCGAGTGCGCTTATTGCAGCCTTAGCAGCATCTTTGGTGGTTCTTAAAGAAAAAAGAACTAAGTTTAAGAATTTAAGGAAAAAGTAGAAGGACTTATTTTTTCAGAAACTAATATACACGGGAGAAATTTCACCCCCCCTAAATACAAATGCTTATTAAAGTAGAGGTGGAACAGTGGGGAGAGAGGGTGGATGGTAAAGTAGGTTAAAAATGGAGAGGTGAGATGAAGCACATTGTTCAAGAGCATACAAAAAAAAAAAAAAAAAAAAAAGCAGCAATCTGGAGGCATTTTTGAAGACTTAATGAAAACGTTCAGTCAAACAAGAAAAACAGAGAAATCTTGTCCAATAAACCTCTCCGGCAAATGTGTGGACATGGTTGTGCTCTTCTCGACCCTTCGGCGTCAAGTTTTTTCAAGTTTCTTGCGACAGGAGGAGCAAATCGGCTATATAAAGTTGAACTGAACACTAAGGTACTTTTAAGTATCACTAATTTTTGCAAAACCCAGAGACATGTTTTAAACACTGTCTAAGTTCAAAAAAGTTATTTTTATTTTAAGAATGAAATACTTTTCATACACGTGAACGACACCTCGACCACAATCACTCCTAGCCTCGTCCCCAGGACATTCTTCTTAGAAAATGACAGGGGGGGGGGGAAAGCCCTGGGGACGAGGTTGAATCCTGACTCCGTGTAGAAAGTTCTTTTTTCCCCATTTATAATGCTCTTCAAACAATCATCAGAAAACAATCTTTCACAACACACGGATTAACCGGTATGTATAGTATTTTAAAGGTAAGAATTGATCAGGGCAAGATACACGGCTGTCAAAAAAATAGAAATAACAAAAACTATCCTTGCAAGCTCAAATAAACTGGAAACGAACTTCAGAAAACATCGCAAGATAAAATGTTAAATAGAGAAATTAAAATATCTCTGTACGTTAAGACAATTGTTTGCATGAAGAAGAAAAAAGAATGATGGAACAAAACTTTGACTTATTTCGCTGGCTATCTGGAAATTTACGACGTGTCTTCCTGCCACAGAAGTTATTTTGCCAGTATGATCCAGAGTGTGACCGGGGTATTGACAAGACCTTAGGCTCGATTTCCGCCCTCTCCCCGTCCGTTGGGGACTCGTTTTCCAAAACAGCGGCTTACAATCGAGCCTAGCAAGACCTTGGCGCTCGCAAAAACCTGTGCCTAAAGCAGATTGTCATTTTAGTGTTAGCCTGTGTACACACTACCCTCCCCCCCTTGGGAGAAGCGGCCCCTTCTCCGATTTTTCCTGAGAGGAGGGGGTCTGTACACAGACTATTTAGAGTCTGTGCCTTGGGCAGATTGTCATTTCAGTTCCGAATACCCACCAAGCCTCGAATACGTACTCTCGCTAAAATGAGTTCATTTTCATTGTCTTTGCTACACTTGCTACACTTAGACAAGTGAGAGCTGGCTAAGTGTGAGGTAATATCATCTATGCACTCTGTGACCAACACATTTTCCTCTACACCCCTTCCGAGACCTCACTCTGTCTACGATCTCGCGGAAGAACTGCTTGATGAAATAGCCGAGAAAGCCATTTTTCACAATTGATCTCTTCGGCGATTTCAGTGACATAATTATATTTAGTTTGAAACTGGCACCTGTTGCATTATAATTCAATCAGATTGAAACCAAAACAAGATCATCGTTGGAATTCGGATGTTATACCCTAACAAAAACTGAAAAGATACTCCCTTTTGCGTTTATTCACTGAAAAAAGAAACTATTTTTCCCTTTTCATTCTGCTACCGATAAGCTACCGATAAACGCTTTAAAGATCTTTGAATGAAACTGAAATTTACCGCTAATTTAAGATAGAAAAAGTGTGGGGCATAGTGCTAGTGTACAAAGATCTGCCTTCTCCCGATAAGCAAATATCATAATAAAGCTTTCGACGTTAACGCTATTTTTTATAAAGGCAGGCAAAAAAGAGTCCCCCAAACATTTTCGTGTGCTACAGGAGGAATTACCTTGCAAGTGAACTCTTATTTTTTATTATTATCAATAACTATCATTTAAAAAAAAGATGATAATATTATCGAATTGATCGACACAACGCTATTGTTTTCTAATCGACCACCCCTCTTGAGGAATGCGTGACAGGCCACAGTAATTGAATTATTTTAAGCCGCAAACATCTTTCATGATATATTATTCAGCTGCTTCTTCCTCGTTAAAAAAAAAAAAAAAAAAAAAAAAAAAAAAACAGACCTTAAGGGGATTCTAAGTCATGGTTTGTGTTTTTCTGTGGAAAGGACAATTATTTTTCCCCTTAGAAATGTGAATGTAACGATTATATTTCCTGTCAATTTGTTGAAACAACCCATCTAAGGCTAATTTGCTTACCGAGAACGAAGTCACGTTCATCGTCGACAAGAAAAAGACCCAAGGAAAAGCGATTACTAAGTTTTCTCCACATGTTTTCAAACGTCCAACATTTGAAGGGTCTAATGATATTTAGTGATAACTGGAAACGTTAAAGCTGTGGAAATTAGTCGATCAGATGCGGACCCGTTACAATTCCAGCTTTGCTGTCACAATAGCGAACTTTGGAACATTACCGGAACTTTGCACGGCACGCAAAGAAGAGTGCCCACAAATTTTATTGCGTTAAGAAGTAGACTGGTCTTAGTACTTCTGATTTATCATAGACTTGAGTCTGGGTCAGGTGCCACTTTTAGGAAATTACCGTTCAGCTCTACTTATGCAAATTACTTTTCCTGCTGAGCAAATTAAAGGTCATTTTCAAAAAATCATATCTCAGCCAACTTTCCACAGAATGCAACCATTAAACATTGAAACTATTAATGAGAGTTAAGACTTTCGTGTGTAAAATAATCAGATTATTCGGCTATGTAAGGTAGGTTTGACAGAGCCCTAAAGTTTCACCAAAATCGCACTACTTCCGACGGCAAACTGACTAGTTTTAGGTGACCGAGAAAATCTTCCTGTAAAATAGAGAAAAAATTGAGTTGGTCCAAATAAATGTGATATTTCTTCATGGGATAGGATAGTCATCTTCTGCTGAAAAAATCAGGGCAATCCGTGATAGACCGAAATTTGCCTCATCGGTTCTTACGCGGACAGCCTCTTAATGTTTATTGAAGCTATATGAACCGTCATAATACATAGCTCTACAAGGCAACTCAGTATGTGCTATTGTTTCTGTTAAATTGAATTGACTTTTTTGTGAAAAACTACTGTAGCAATTGAACAATCATTTGATTAAAAGCAAATAGTCCATTAAATTACTTATGGCTATTGTAGTATACCAATAATTGCATAAAAGGAGGAGGGGTGGAATCTCACATATAAAAGTGATGTACATGTAAATGGTTATTGAAAGTTTTGAAACAAACCGCTGAAAGTTAAAAGAATATCTTTTCATCGAGTAGCTAGGTACCTATTTGGATAAGCAGGAACATTCCTGTCATAACCAACTGCTCTGGGTTCTTTGTTAAAAAGTTGTAAAATAAGTCTTGTGGTTTTCGGTTTGACAAGCACCCCCAGTTATACCATCACCCCTCCTCCGTACATTCCTATAAATTTTTGTATTTGTAATCAGGAGAACCTTACACTGAACTCGAGAAAAAATCCATTTCAATTACTACTGATGTGACTTTTAGCTTGGATTAAAATCTAGGCCACATTATATTTATCACTGTTCATGCAGCCTTCTATTGCAACTCAATGGCAGGGAAGCATTCCTCGGTACAGTATGTGCATGCATACACGAAATTTAACAAAGTGAAACATTTTAAAAGAAATGGATAAATTATTGAGATAAAAATCTAGAATATACATACACAGAAAAAAACCACTGTGAGATCCTGCTAACAGTCCTGCCAGCAGTTTGAAAAATTTCATTTAAGTGTGCAATAGAGTCGATATCCGACACAAAATCTGACAAAAGCAGCACAATTTTGTTTTACTACTCAATGAAAAGATACCGAAAATATCCATATTCCCACCACAGAAGGGATTGGAAATTCCTGGGGGCCTCAAAGACCAAAAAAACTATAGAAATGTGTGGGTTCAGAAAATAGCCATACCCCCAAGAATGGTTTTATGGTTCGGACCCTCCTACCCTACCTGGAATTTCCAGTTTTGCTTCATACTTTCCCTTCAAAAATTTGACTTTTGGGATCCCCCTCCCCCTCGGAATTTTCAGTGACCATCCTTGTGATGGGTGTGGATATTTTCAGGAACCACACAATGTATGAAGTTAAATTTGAATTTCTATAGGGGCTTGGGTTCTTATTTTAAAAAAATCCCTTCCGTGGAGGAGGTATGGATGTTTTATGGATCAGCACAATTTTTACAACTTCATAATATACAATATTATCATCAGTCAACCTCTCCATCTTCATCATCTTCCACAATACATTGTTCGTCAACTGCTTCAAGGTGCTGAAGCTCTTCAATTATGTCATTGTACAATACAAGCAGTGCATCCTTTTTGGCTTTACTTGGGTGGGCCTTAAAATATTCCAGCTTGCTAGACAGAGGTCCTCTTACCTCTCCATCAAAAATCTGCTGTAGTTTATCTCCAATGCGTTTCAGAATTTCATCCTTGGTAGCATTCTTTATAAAATATTCCAGCTTTCTAGACAGAGGTCCTCTTACCTCTCCATCAAAAATCTGCTGTAGTTTATCTCCAATGCGTTTCAGAATTTCATCCTTGGTAGCATTCTTTATATCTTCCGCTACAGCCCTTTCTTGAACAGTTACATAAAGTCTTTGTACCTCCACCTCTGTTCGCTTCTTGCAATCGATGATTTGTTCACTGAGCAGTCTTCTCCGGTTACTCTGCAAAATTTCTTCATAGTTTGGGAGATCCTTTTCCAATTCAAGGCCATCCAAGGAAATTAGCTTTTCTGAACAGTTCCCCTCCAGATACCTGTAGTAAACCATTAAAAATACAATAATCATCAGGGAAGGAAATCATGGAAGGATTTGGCCAACATACATTACAGGGAAATTTGCCATACCATAATAATAATTATGGTTTCTAATATAAAACAAACTTTGGAAAGTTTGGAATTAGATGACAAAAGTCTGTGAGCTGAGGTAATGACTTCAACTTTATTCTCATACAAAGCAATAGCAGTTACCGTGTATCATGTTAGCAAAAATTGTTAGGTCTAAATTTGGAGGGTATATCATACTCTGCAATAAAGGTCAAAGAGGTGCACTTGAAATAGTACAGAAACTTGCCTTTCTTTTCGAAGCTTTATCCTCCATGCAAGCACTTCATCTCCAAAGTCATACTTTCTTCTAGACTCTATGGCTCCCTCTTTTGGGTTTTGTAAACCAACCATGGTGAAGAACCAGTTTCTCACCTATAGTGATATTGTTATAAACATTTCAATATTTATGTAAAATATCTGAAAGTAAATGCCACAGTGATTCTACAACAGAAAGGTGTCCCTAATACATGGTCCCACCGTTTGCTACAATTTCATCTGCAATATGTGTATGAAAAGTCCAGCAAACAGGGACTAAGATTATAAAATTAATATTTTTTAGTTACAAGATAAATGTCATGTCCCAGCCTACAAGAGTTAAAATAATATTATCATCCGGCATGAAAACACACGTCCACATGTCTACTTCCCCTGTTAGCAGCTACCAGATTACATAGATGGCATTTTTTTATCTGGTGCCTGCTAACACATATATATGTACACACATGCAAGTAAAAAAGGTAAACAAACCTTGCTCAAATTTCCAAGATTTCTGAAAATTCGGAGCCAGTCAAGAGCAATCATCTTGCCATGCTGCCACACTTTCGAGTCCTTATTTACTTCCCCTAGGCAAGCATCCATATCTTCTCCTTTGCTCATGTTACCAGAGGCACTCACAGATTCTGTGGTTTCCACAAATTGATTGAGTTTCCCTGGGTAGTAACAGGAAAGAGAGAATAAACAGGTTGCTTTAAACAAGACCTTTATTTAAAGTTGGACTGAACTAAAATGTGGTCTAATGCATTCCAGAGAAGACCCCACACATTTACAATACATGTAAATGTACAACATTTTACATGTAAAAGTTTATTACTATTAGTTACAAAATGTGTGTACTGCTACAATGTACAAGTAAAATGGGCTAATAGTTAATCGTGGCTGGCTTATGCCTTTTTTCGATTTCAAGGCTATGCTCAAATTTTTTGGTTTTGTTTGTCACACTTAACAATACAAAATTTTGGGGCAACATTTGACAGTTTATCTTAAGACCCCTTTCACCCATGTGGCCTTGAAGATCCATGTTATATTTTTGCAGTGCGACCCATAAATATTGGCCGCAAAGCCAAACGGATCGACATGGGCCTCAAATTCAAACAATTTAATTCCACTCACCTTTCGTGTAGATCTATCAATGCATATTTTGATGAGCTACTTCTATGGAACAAAGGTGCAAATGTCAACTGCCCTGCTCTGATGTAGGAACTATTGTTCCTTCTCACACCCATACGTAGCACCATGAGAGCCATGAGATAGGTATAGCTGTAGGTGGCACTCTTCCAGCCAACTTCAGGCATCCACTTGTACAGGTAATCATTGACAGAAATTTCGGGGCTGCCTGATGCAAGCCTATCCTTTATGTAAGGGATTAACATTTCTTTCCACAATCCAATGTGTGCTACTCTCAACACCGACAAATTGTCTTGTGATGATCAGAACCCTTCCGCATATACCTCTGGGCATTCTCCGAAACAAATCCCAACTCACTAGCTAGCTTGGACAGAAATATGTCCCAGTTCAAGTCAATAAAATGACGTGCCATGTTCATTTCTAAATGAAACTTGCCAATGCAGAGCACAACCCAGTCAAATTCTTGCACAGTACTACACTGCTGCCCCTGATGGCTTTTGATACAGTGCTCACTAACACTAGCCTTTTCAACCTCCTCCCCACATTCGGAACAAAGCAGAACATCATTAATAACTCCCCTGCACACCAGGTAGGGCAAACCATCTATTGTGATGTTAAGCCACTCAGGAGCTTGAGGATCATGTGGGTTGTAGCGCTTCACATTGGATGCCTTGCCAACCCTGCGCAATACTTCCTTCAAGGCATCTGATGAATTAGGATTTACAAAGATTGGGTCACCTGCTACAACTTTGACAGGGTGGTCAGGATGGTTGGAGGGGACATGCTGAAATTCATTATGGCACTCTGACAACTTCTCTTTCCAAAAAATATGTCCCTCCTCATTTTCATCAATGGTGAATCCAAACTGGGTCTCTTTGACCCATTGCTGATAACAACGAATGGGGGCTATCAGTGCAGTACCCAAAATGTCGCTCCCCTGAACTTGCCTTTCAGCAGCTTTAAGGCTGACCCTGCAATCAGGATTGACACACTTCCTCCTTGTCCGTTCCATTGTTGTTTGGCAAACAGGGCAAACATGTCTTCCTTCATTCGCTTTTAATTCATCTACACGCAGGTCAATGTCATCTTTCCATTCACCGTTGACTTTATTTTGCTCCATTAGCAAATCATGAAGAAGTTCATGGATCATCTTTTTGTTCTGAAGTCATAAGAAAATAGAAGAGTGTTATCAATATTTAAGCAATGTCAAAAATTATTACAATGTGTTGCAGTTGGTGGAGAAAGTGGCATGAGCAAGGTATTTAAACGAAACACTAAGCACGGTAATGCAAAAGCAAATTAAATTCAAATTACTTTTAATAAATCCAACACCAATAAATTACTACTGATTGTGTGTACATGTGTGTTAAGGCATTTGGTTATGATAGACAGCTTATAAATAAATTCCTTCAAAATCAGTGCATGTTAGAAAACCAGTCACACTTCTCATGAGACATTAAATGTAAATTTCTTGTGATTTGAGACCGCAAAATCTGTTTTCCAGTAAACTGGCTACGTGCTCTACAGATAGCTAAAACAAAAACTTCTTTGTGTCTGAGGTAGCTTGCTAGCCAATACAGAAAGCAAAAATGATCGACCGTCTCTAAGGTAGGAATCAAAAGTATCTTGCATACGTTTGCTCATCTGAAAGCCTTTACCTCGTGGCGAATCAATCCCTTGTTGTCCTCTGAAGCAGAGCACATGTCCAAAAGCTTTACCTTATCCTCTTCACTTTTCTTCCAAAGTTCACTTCTTTTAGACCATGAACTGAAACAAATATAAATTGTATACATTGAACATGTTGCTGTGACAAGAAGTATTAGTTGCTACATTGTACATGTAACCTTTCAAGACAGTTCCTGGTACAAAAAAATATCATTTGAGCTTACACCCTGAACAATCATTACTGATTTTTAGGAAATACATGACTATTTTTATTTCTACAATTTCTAAATAATGTAGGTAGTTGTACATATCAGTGGAAAGTACACTCCCTCTCTCTCTCGCTTAGCTTTAACACAAAACTGTTATTACCAGAAAACTGCATCCCCTAAAGAGTAAGGACCATGTTACATGTAAATTTTGTGAATTTTTCTTTTCCCTAACCATTTCCTGACCAGTGGCAACCCAGGTCGTTCATTAAGTTCCTTGCCTTAGTTATCAGTGCAGCTGTTACAGCTTGCCGCTTTTCCGCATTTAAGTGTAAAATATTAAAGCAAATTAAAAACAAAATATTACAGAAATAATAAGTACATGTAACAGACTTGGAGTGACCATGTACACTTTTACTTACCCTGGAGAAAGACTTTGGTCCCACTGCAAAGTCCCCCCTGGATGGACTGGAGCCACACAAACACTGGTTAGAACACTAATCTGTGCTTGGTTATCCTTTCGGACAGTCCATTTTTTGATAAGTACTTGATCATTGTCAATAGCAGCAAGAATATCACCACCAGGAACTTGAGAGACATCCATGGTCAAATTTTTCAGCCACGTTCTGGCAGTTGTGATACCACCAGCAGGATGCAACTTCCCATAGATATTTAGGACAAGCTTGCTACGAGTGACTGAGTATGCAAGTAAATTTGATGCAAACATCAAGGGGCTAATGAAAGATGGCTGCACTAGGGAACAAAGTTGATCAACACTGACAGCTTTCTGAAAAGGTTGAGTTTTTTCATTTGCAAGTGCATTAAATGCAGAAGCAAGAATGGAATTTCTGGCGTAAACCCATGTATGAGGTGTAACTTTCAAGAGCACAGGCAGACTTTTGTAGGTTTGACTACAGGATGAAATATCTTTTTTGATATTTTCTTTTTCTAGCTCGAAAATTTTTGAAGTCAGATTAATTTTATCTTGACTGTTCAAACAACGAATGGATGTTTCAAGGTTCTCTCTGTACAGAAAAATGAGATTAAACTGGTAAGCAAGTTCCGTGGCACATGCAAGGGCCAACTCTCTATCCAACAATGGAATGTTTTCAATTAGTGCACTGAATTCTTGGCAAGAATTCCTCTCTTCTTCTGTTTCAGTTTCCTCACCGCTCTCAGTGTCACTTTCGTTATCTTTCGTCACAACCTTTTCTTCAACACTTTTTGGAGGACGCCCTCTGGCTTTCTTATTACATGGACAGTTTCCTTCAGAGTGACTTGTCCACAAATAAGGTCGTTTTGAGGTCGACACTTTGGCATGTACATCTGTATTGCCACGAATTCGATAAAGTGATCGTTTGCATCCAGCGCAGATACTATTGGGATAGATTTCTTCCAAGTCTTCCTCAATGTTTATTTGAAACTGGTTCAATAACTCATTTTTAAATAAACTTTTGTCAGCGAAATCAGACTTCCTTGAAAGGACTTTTCCACACAGTCGACAAGCTGTCCTTAAAAACGATAAATGACCATCCATGAGCTGCAAAGGAGATCAAAATAAGAGCTTTAGAATTGAAAGTCAATAGATCAGCAGCAGAAAACACTTGAAGAGCCAATGTTGCCGAAGAGCAAATTATCAGGATGTTACACTAAAAAACAAAACAAGGTGCACTTGAATTCCGTTTTGATGTTTTTCATGCAAATGTATTGGAGAACACCACTGCATTTTTCTCTTTTTAAAAAGAGTGTGACTAAGGCAGGTTTTAGAGTTTTTGTTTAAATAACAAAACAGGCTTGTAGCCACAAAGTAGTTTAAAGTGCTTCTTACTGCACTTCTTTTGTAAGGAATTTATCAATACAGGGAATAAAATTCTTGTGATTTTGATCGGAAGGGCTAAAGTGCAGGTCACAAGTCACAGGTCAGGTCACAGGTTACAGGCCACAGGTTACAGGTCAGGTCACAGGTCAGGTTACAGGCCACAGATCACAGGCCACAGGTCACACAAAAAACAATGGGACACTGGACAAAACTGTTCTGGACTGACGTTTTACTATACAAAAATAAAATAAGCCAAAGAACTTTGATGATATTTTTGTCCTTTAAACAATATTAAATTCCACACACGGAATATTATTTTCATTCTGATCATACGACATATCCAAACTTCGAAACGAAATCACAAAGGTGTGCAAAATCATTTTGTACGAAAAACAAATCACATGTTTTTCACTGAAAACGAAGTGATGTCGTGTTATTAGAATGTCATCTCCAAATAAACCGTGCAGCCAAGATAACTTGGAGCGAGTCATTGAAATGCAACATTGTAATCCTTTGATACAACAGCATTTTACAGAGTCAAAGATTCAAGTTGTAATAGCGGAATGCTCCCACCTAAGGCCCACGAGGCAAATCCAACAAAGGTTTTTCAAGCTGTTGTGCAACAGAACGTGAGAAAATGGCAAGCTCTTGGGAGAAGAGCCGAGAAATATGGTCCAGCAACTATTTGAGAGGCCCAAATAGCAGTGTCTGAAGTTCTTAGCCGAGTACACTTTAACATAGCAGTATTTTGTGACTGGTACGAAGCGCGAGCAACAGGACGCCATCTTCAAAAGAAATGAAAGACCGATCTAGTGGCAGGAAGAGTTTAGGACGAGAAAAGTCTGAAGAAAGTTGCCGTATTTCAGTGGTCAAATAAGTTTTAGACTGTCCTTAAGTTTTTCTTCCGTTTTCCCATCGAATGCTTTTCAAAACATCCACAAACATGTCATAATATTCTTAATGCAACAACCCTTCGTTCTGAGATTCATTTTTTCTAACAAATCACGTGATTTTGCGTACCTTTGTGATTTCGTTACCAACTTTGGTTACGCTGTAACGCAAGTCCTCCTTGCGTGATCAACATGAATATATTTTCTCATGTGTGGGATTTGGTAAAGTTCAGAACGGAAAAAATATAATTGAGGTTCCTTGGCTTGTTCTATTTTTGTATAATAAAATGTCAATCAAGAACAGTTTTGTCCAGTGTCCTATTGTTTTTGTGTGTAACCTGTGATCTGACCTGTGATCTGACCTGTGGCCTGTGACCTGTGACCTGTGACCTGCACTTTAGCCCCGCCGGATTTCGATGCAGGGAGTGGTAGTGTGACTTAAAGGAAAATGCATGTACGAAAGATTATGTATGTATCTTAATTCTAAATAATTATGACTGTACAATAAATAAGTCTAAAGCCTTATTGCAATGTCATGTCTGTAACCCTGGTCACAAAAGCATCTTAACTAACCTCCAATTTTCATTCGTGTCACAGCATGTCATCAAGATACATGTACAACCAATAACTTGGAAAGACGCTTTCTTTGCCACATTCAAACGACGCCATTCTTTCTAAACAGCCGACTTGTAATTCTTCTTCTGCATGTATAGAGAGGAAAGACCAAGGTGTAAAACGAATATAACACGACTGAAAAGAAGAGCAAAATAGAACCTTTAGAATAGCAGACCCTAGTACTCTTTAACAAGCAATGGCGGTAAAGGGCAATACCGCGAGTCACACTTCAACCAGCGTGCACTTGAACTAAACTGCCGTGCACTTGAATTCTGCTTCAATGTGTTTGAAGCCCAATCATCAGAGAATACCACAGTATTTTTTTTGGGCTAAAAAAAAATCTTACCTACCTCAAATTTCCTTTTGCTTCGTAGCACGTCAGCCTTTCCGAGCTCAATTTAGGTGCCACAGTTCGACTTCGAATGCACATTTCTTCGGCACATTTCAGCCGACGCCATTTCTGATTGCCTTGAATGGAAGCTCCGTCTGTCCTCTTTCAGGGGAACTGGGACTCAAGGGGCCAAACAGCCGTATACAAAAAAAACTGGGACAAAATTTTGGGGCGGGTATAAGTTCTCAAGAATTGTGCCAGGACGACATTTTGATGACGTCATCATATAGACAAAATTGTCTATGGCCCGAACTGTTTACTAGAAAGTTAAGGTACAAGTAAAAAACATAACACTCAGTCTGTACGGTCTGCACGGTCTGCACGGTCTGCACGGTCTGCACGGTCTGCACAGTCTGCAGTCTGCAGTCTGCATGGTCTGCGTTTCAACATGACCGATGTGTAAGCTTCCCGGCCGGTACACATGTGGCAGAAGCTGTCCGTGGTCTCTGTTAGTTTATTTTTAGCCATTCACTCTTACCGAAATGATGTTTGATGGGCATGAAGATCTTTTTTTGTCAAACGACAAATCAGTCTCGCCGAAGAACGGATTCACTGGGAAAAATCAATAAGGGTCAGAACCTTGACCAGAACATAAATGAAAGACGTATTTTCTAGACTTCGGATATGCATGTGGCCAAAATGATAGTAGTGTTTGTCACAGGAAGTCTCGCTATTCTAACCTTGAAATTGTTTAATAGTCCCATGTTCTAATCAATAAGCACTAGAGCATATTATTTTCCCTAAAAATAGGGAACTTTTTTTTTAAATAGGGGACGAAGTTGATCTTCGTTTACACCACTGTAGCTGGCTTAGCTAGGGTAGGAAAGTTAAATTACAGTGTACTAAATTTTTCCGAGACCCTAAATGCATATGGTTGGCTCAGCTGATGGAACTGTTCCAAATTCATTTCAACAAACCTGACAACAGTTACGGAAAATAGTTTATAATTTTTTTATTATCTTGCTGCCGTGCGCTCTCTGCATATATCACACGGTATATCTAATCCACTTCAACCTGGATTCCGATTAAAACAGACCTTGCGTGGTATCGAACGCTAACATTTTTCTGCACCGAAGCAAAAGGTACCGTTTACATTCCACATTCTCTCCGATATTTAGGCCTTTATCATCCCCAAGTGTGACGACGACACGGTGCGATGGGCTGCCATCACCGCTGGTCATTTCCTTGCGCTCTACGCGGTTGAATCTTCAGTTCTTTCTCGCGACCTTTTCGATCCGCCTTTTCACCTGCTCTGATAAACGTTTACATTCCTTTCTTCTGGCAAGGAGTACCTCTCCCACTGACTTATAAAATCTTAAACGGATCAGCGACGGCAGGGTTTGACCCTTTATACTGCTCATTCGGGACGCTCCGTCTTTCCTGGTTGCGCTATGAAAAAGAACCTCGCTCTTCACCATCGCCGTGGTATCGTCGACAAGGCTACTACGCTCTTGTTTCACCTTTCCGACCGACGCCCCGTCAGCAAAATATCCCTCGTCTCTTTCATCTCTCACTTACTACGCTAAGTCGGTATTGACCCCTCCCACTACAGTGGTCATAGTTTTCGAATCGGAGGAGCAACGTCCCCCTCTCTCGCTGGCTTAACGGACTATGAGATCAAACTCCTAGGCCGATGGAACAGTGACTTTTATCAACGGTACACTCGTTCTCCCTTCGGTTGTTGCTCGATATACCCCGCAACATTGCACAAACACACACGATGAAGTTTCAGTACGCCACTCCTTACAAGTTCAATGAACCTGCTGCAGATCACTAATTAACTTCCCACTTGGGCTGGACTCGTGAGCAGCTGTATTTTCCCCAAATGGATGAGCATTAAACTACCCGGATATGGGTCAAACATGATTTTTATCACGTGATTAGTGTGTATGAGATAGATTAATGGCCGTCTGCCGCTTTTACAGAGACACGTCAGGTTACTCAAGGACTTAGAAAATTCGCATAGCGTATACCATGGGCGCGCCAGTCAGTAAACTGTTTGGGCAAATGCTAAACAACATTAAGGACTGGTAAATTTCTTTCGAGAGTCACGTTTATAGAATAGGTTTGAAAAAAATGGAAATCGGTTGGAATCTGGAATTTCCGTTTGGAAAAAAATTCCCTTCCGGGAAAACAGGATTACCTTTCAGATGTTCCGTTTGTTTAAGAATTTTTCACTTCATAGATTTCTTTACTTGTATGTCCCCCTTTTTTTTCTCTTTTTGTTGTTGTCAATTAAATGGTCATTCCATGTCAAGTTACGACCTTTTTAAAGTAAACGATGGGTGCGAAAACAACCTTGTTAACAATAAATGCTTACATGAAACGCTGACGAGGATAGTGCGTCTCCTGGTTTGGTTATGGCGGTCTATAGCTTCACAAGTATAATTCCCAGTGTGATGCAAGTCCAATTCACGAAAATCAAGAGTGAGGTTTACTTGTCTGTCTCTTTGACTTTTTGTCTCGTTGATAATCGTGTTGTTCTTCAGCCACCTGACTGTTAGTGGGAGCGGTCCTTCAACAAAGCAGTAAAAACTTTTCTTTTCACCAGCGAAAAGAGATGATGGAATACGTTCTTCTAGTATTTTAATTGTCAGGTTACCTAGAACAGGAAGAAAACATATTACTTGCAATGTCAACTATTCCGGTCCCAGACGAGCATTAGGGAGCTTTAGCGACGACGACGGCGACGGCTATGAGAAAGTCAAAAAAGCAAAAGGTTTATCAAGCAAAACAACAATTTTGCACGAGCCTCACGCTTTAATTTTTGTACATTTCTTTGCGGTACCTGCAAGACTACAACTTGAAAATGCCTAATTCCA